TTGTTATTGTTGTTGTATTATTGTTATTTATAATTTGTACAATTAACCTCCCTGTGGTTCGACCCCGGTCTTACCGGGTTATTTATTACTTCGACACTCCTGCACTTGGGAGAAGACATCAATCGTTTAGTCGTGTCACATAAAAAATTATTTAGCATTGTTATTAAATTTAGTCTAGCAGGTTAATCTTAAAACCTCCTAACCTAACTTCTTGTCTAATTTAAGTTTAAAATTAAATCATATTGGAGTTTTCTCGATATGAATCAATAAACTAACACGTCCCAAGACAACCTAGATGATCAGTAAAAGCATGATTTGATTTTAAAAAATTCAAAATATTTTTTTTTAATATTGAAATTATGAAAATAGTGAGGCGCACATCATACTTTAAAATAAGTCGAATCCAACGATGAACAATGGTAATACGGTTGTTGGAGCACCTTCCCTTCTTATCTTTTCTCTTTGAACCTCTCTCTAACTTCACTCTAGAAGTGCACAAATGAGCCCCCTTGTTTCTTTTTTTAAGAAGACAAACAGGAGTAAAACATATTAGAATAAAAAAACATATATATATATATACACACACATTCAAAATTAGGCTAAAACAATAATGAGTTTGAGGATTCATATGATGAGTCATAACATATATAATAGATGTTGAGATTAGAATTGATATTGATTGAAAGAAAAAAATGACATTATAGATATTATGATGAATTATGGAAATTAGTGGGTCAAGATGACATATGTTGGGAAGCTAGATGTAAATATAATGTATTAAAAAGAGAAGAATGCTTAGGTAGCCAAAAACACATATATTGAAATTGTATGAATTAAATATGTTGCATAAAAGTAACATGTTGTGAATGCAATAATATTACAAATTAAATGTGCTAATAAGGTAAAACAAGACTCAGAATGATTTTGATATGTAGAGTAATATGGTATGGAAGTGTTAAAAGGAATTTAACAAATTCATAAGATGAAATAAATAAATTGTATTAAGTTGAGCTAATGTAGATTGTAAATGTAAGAGTCACTATAATATAACAGGATAGTTTGGTGCATATAATAATGAAAACTGAATTCATAAATAATTAATAAAAATATATCAAGTTTGGAAACTAATACAAGTTTTAAGAGTTTACAGAAAAAATAAAAAAATTAATTTTTTTGTATAATTTCTAAACATTAGCAACCATGATGATGTAAATAATTATTATGATTTTTGTGATCCTCCGAGTATGTGATGTTTTAAGTATCTCCTAAATTTCATTGAGTTATCTAGCTTATCTTGTGGGCGCCATTCATATATTTCAAATACTAATTTCTAGAACAACTTATATGTATGCAATTTAAAAAGTATGAAAACTTTATTAATATATAGAAATAAATTGTGTATCATTGTATTCATTCATAAACTTATTGGATGATAAATAGAAACTGTTTTGATGTTATGTTTATAAAACAATTTATGTCATTTTCATTAACGTTGTGATTAAAATCCTAGGATATTATAATTGGTCTTAGAACCTTTGGTTTGTGACTAAATAGACTGTTATTGCCAACATATACGCTTGAAAGTGCCTGTGATTTTATTATGTTTGTTAAACTGGATGTTCCAACATATACGCTTGAAAGTGCCTGTGATGTTATTATGTTTGTCAAACTGGATAACAAACATGTAAATGGTTGCTTTGAGAAAAAAGTATGTCCTAGAGAGATGTAATAATGGATAATTTACCTGGTCTCCATTGATAAGTGGAACTATGCTATATTACAAGGAGGGAAAACAAAACCAATAGTAGGATCAATGTGAGATGAACAAGGTTCAAAGTGATGGGAAGCCGTTTATTGATTAATAATAGAAAACTTGTAACTATGTACGAGTTGGGGATCAATGTGAGATGAGCAGGAAAACAATAAGATAAAGTAGAAAAAGGAAGGCTTTGAAGCCAGGAAATAGCATAAGTAATTATGATGAGATAAAAGTGATTAAAGGGAGGATAAAAATGCCTAAGTTTAATGTCATCATGTCTAAGCAAGGATCTAAATTTCAAGAATGAATTTTATTTAATAAAGAAAAATAAAATCAAGGATCTAAATTTCAAGAATGAATTTTAATAAAGAAAAATAAAAATTTTTATGTAAACATAGAATCATAGGTATTAAAATCTCGATGATAAATGAAAACTTAAAAGGAGTAAAATGAATAAATAATAAAAATAATAATACATATGATAAGTAATAGAGAGGATGTTTTCTATTGATAAATTTAAAGGTATTGTTAAAATTAAAAAGAAATTTATAAATTTTGGATTCAAAGTTAATAACATCCAAGAAATTGATAATGATTTTTGATCGATAAAAAAATAAAAAAATTCAAAACAAATATATTTTTAAAATAAATGATGTCAAGGATTTAGTGGGATAATTAATACTAACCATGCAAGGAAATAACAAGAAAATTCAAATTTTTTGTATAAAAGCTCAATTAAAATTTTTCTCAAGTGAAAATATAAGAATTTATTTAATCCATAAATAAATCAGATTAGATTAAATAAAAGAAACTTAGATAAAATAAAATAAAATGAGGTGAAATTGGATAAAAGAAAAGTGATAGGGCATAAATTAATTAAAAAAAAAATAGTGGGGCAAAATAGGAAATAAAAGATAAAAGATAAATGAGGTCAATATATAATTAAACTTGACCATAAATGCTCTCTTTGGCCGACAGTTTTATGCATCAAGCAATAACCAAGAAGTGCATGGTGGGGCTTGATCGTTTTTTTATATCAAAGATGGTCCTTTTCATGAGGCTAGGTGATCGTTTGTGCTAATAGCCCGAACAACCTAGTTTTTTTTACAGACGCATCATAAGCTTCCATTCCAAATACTCATTCAACAAGTTTGTCTCTTTTAAACCCCTTTTCTTTTTCCTTGGTTTTGCTATGCGTCCAAGAATATGCCTGCAAGGCTATCTGCTGGCCTAAGACAACAATTAGTTAGCACAAGAAATCTGCTAGTTATAACTATTTATTAGTTAATCATATAGTATCAAATAAATGTGGAGTGTAACGCATCAATGCTTGTAATATATATAAATATAAAAAAACATTATACTTTCAAGAAAATGCATTGCTAGAATCTCATCATCTAAATGAATAGATTCCTATTTTATCTATGGCAACTCTACTGCAGTGGAAAAACACAAGCCTGTCACTGTCATTGTTGTTGCGTCCCAATTATCTCATCAAATTCCCACTGGGCAAAGAAAACCCTCCAAATAACCTGGCATTTTTCTCTTCTTGACGTGGGAAAATAGCCAGTCTGTGGTCACTGGACGTCAACAATTTCTTATGCGATATGAATCTCCTCTCTCTTGCAAGCTGAACGTCTCTTCTCCATCTAACACCCGATTTGCATGACAATGAAAGAATTTCTGACCTGTTCATTCTTTTCCGTCGTTTCACTCCCTCGCATGTAATGGGAAAAAAAAAGAGAATAGATATTCCGTGCTGTTGCTTCAACTGAAAAGGAGTCTGTAACCGTAAAAACTATCACGTAGTTTGATCAGCATCGTAAAATTTTTATGGACATGGTTTTAAGGAGAAGAGCTTTCCTCATCTGAACTTCTATCTTGTCTAACATTAAATCTGTTGAGAACCGGTAGTGAAGCTGTAGCAGATATCCGAAAGGATCTAGCTGAGCCCACCATTGTTCTGTCCTGCATTTTCCCTACCTCCTTGCAGACATGATCCAATACATTTAGGAAATCTCTTACTATCACGAAAATTCTGAACGGGTGAGCTTCCTCCTTGGCTGTATCCCCATGGAAATATTCTGTGACCTCTTTCACCAGTGACAAAGCCTTCCTTTCATCAGACTTAATCCTGCTAATTTCCTCATCAGCGCCTCTTAGAAACAGCTTCATTGAGTGAAAGAATTTCCCCTGCATATCCGGCTTGTCATACTGCAAAGCCAATCTGACTTTCTCAAGCCCCATCGCGAGTTTTGAGACATAGCTGCTTAAAACATCAGAGTCCATTCCAGCTGCCTTTCTTACATTGCTGAGATCTCTACTCAGTCCTGTCACAACCTGCAATCCTTGTTTCCCAAAATCATCCTCCTTCATTTTGGAGAGTGTACTGTCTTGCAATTTCTCATTTGTAGAATCGGTACTTGTGCCTTCAGATCTAATAATTTCCTGGACCACAAAGTGGAGTAATGTTGTTTTCCCATCAGTTCCTTTTATATCTACAAGTTTTAAGAGTGTATCAAGCTTAAATGCTTTAGCATCACCACGATTTGTGCCAACATTCATCCGGTTCCCTGTCCTGAGAACAGCTTCAAGGAGTTTGAGGAATAACCGGCTATTCTTCAATTCCTTACTTGCTGCCTGGTAGATAGGAAGATGTCAGGATTAAGTTCCTAGGAGTTAGTGTACACAGAATTTAAACAATTTTACATTAGAAAATACAGTGAACCTCATTAGCAGCAACCTTGCAGCCAAAATAATTTAAATGATCTTAGATTAAAAAACAGAGTGAGTTCAGCAGTAAGCTCAGCCAGCATGCATACCTCTAGGGTTTGAAATGATTTCCTCAAATATTTAACTTCTGTATCAAAATTGGCTCTGTATAGCATCGCCTCAACTCTTTTAAAAGCAAATGGGATATCAAGTACTGTCTTGAGAAATTGTTCTGCAGATCCCAGTTTGGAGATGTCACCACTGTACTCTCGAAGTTTTATTTCTTCCTCCTTGGTTGGGGCCATCTTTACTAGAGTTTCCAAAAGCTCGGCACCCAAGCTTTCTGGGTTGCCTGTTACACCCAAACAGGTATCTCACTTATAACGTTAGCAAACTAAACTCGATATACAACAAGGAAAGTTGATACAAGTACAGAACATGCATATGATGGTGGTGTGATCTTCCTGATATCAATGACGAACAATCTTCCAACCTTTCATATTTATTTTTGAAAAATACCCTGGGTCTTGATTTTTTGGTGTCCACATGCAAGTTATAGAAGGAAAAGATTGAAGGTGAAACTTGCATAAATAGGACATTCACTATTATGTGTCTTTCGATGGCAGAATACACACTTTATTTGTCTATTGATGCATTCATATTTATGCAAATTTGTCATGTGAAACCATTAGGCTTGTATTAGAAGATTATTCACAAGAAATACTTGTTATTTTGTTATCTATAATTCTACATGGAAAATATGTTGAGTTGTGACTTAAATTAGTGAGTTGGTTTAGGTTAGATTGGTAATTACATGGTGCGGTGTTCTAAACAAGAATGGAATGTGTTGACATATTCTGTTTCGGTAAAGACTTTCCTTGTTGGAGTTGGACTTGAAGTATTTTTCTTAATGAAAGAAGAATTCTTCTCCTAGTGAAGGACCTTGTTGCTAGTATAAATAGCTTGTGAAGTGTCTAGTTTACATGTGCCTCCAATATTAATGGCGCGTGGAAACCAAAAGAATTAGAGTGGTATTTTGTCGCGAGTGATCTATTGGAGTTTAGGTTTTCGGCAGTGAGCTATTTAAGTGTGTGCTTGATTAGTGGTTGTAATGCCTAATATTTGATAGTGAAGTTTTGTGGAGTAGGGTTTGCCGAACCAAGTCAAATTTTTGTGTCCCTTTTACTTAGTGTTATTATTTGGTTTGCTTGGATTTTGCACAACAACTAGTACCTAGTTCAAGATTGATTGAAGATTTGTGCAAAACAATTGAAGGACGAGCACAAAATTTAAGGTCCCAATTGAAGGACGAGCACAAAATTTAAGGTGGGGCCATTTGATGTGAAGAAAATCCAAGTGTCGAGACCACTCATAATTTGTATTGATATGAAGAAGGAATTAAATAGATTGAGGATGAATGAAGGCATGAATATTCTAGATCACTTGAATAAATTTAATAAAATGATTGTATAATTGATGTGAAGATTGATGGGGAGGATCTAGCCCTGATATTATTAGCATCTCTTCCAAAATCTTATGATGATTTGATGACAACATTGTTGGTTGGGAAAGAGATGACTAATGTGGAGGATATCACTGCTATGCTATTAAATAGTAAGATATTTAAAAAGCTTAGTAGTGGCAACAGAGGTAGTGCTTACGTGATGAACTTTGATCATGGTGATGAAAATATATTAAAAAAGAACTAATTTTGATAGAATTAAGTCAAGATCAAGATCAAAACCAAGAGTGGATTATAGTAACAAGGAGTATTATTACTATCACAGGAAAGGTCATATCCAATTTTATTATAGGAGGTTGAAGAGTGATCTAACAGAATTCAAGGAAAAGAAGAAGAAGAGTTGTGAAGAGCATGTAGATGTAGCTTCTACTGCGGTTGGTGAAGTACATGATGTATGATCTCCTCAATGTAAGGATTCATTGAAGGATTCATGGATTTTAGACTTTGCTTACTCTTTTCATGTTTTGTGCTAATAAGGATTGTTTTAGTAGTTAGGAAATTTATGGCGGGGAATCCATTGCGTTGGTGGATAATCATGAAGTAGTTGTTGTTGGAATTGGTAAAGTGAAAAAAAAAAAAAAAAGATGCATGATGGTATATAATGAATACATTTGATGACTTTAGGCACATGCCAAATCTTTAAAAGAATTTGATTTCATTTGAAATACTTGAAAAAAAAAAGATGCATGATGGTATAATGAATACATTTGATGACATTAGGCACATGCCAAATCTTTAAAAGAATTTGATTTCATTTGAAATACTTGATTCACGTGGTTATAAGCATTTTGTTGAAGGTGGAGTTACAAGAGTTAGTCCCGGTTCTTTGGCAATAACAAAAGGAAAATTGATGTGTAATGATTTGTATAAGTTGATAGGAACTGCAGTTCAAGGTGAAGCATGCAATGAAGCGTGTAGTAAAGTAAATGAAATGCATTGTTCAGTTGCATCCAAGAAGAGAGCTAGTTTTATTTTGATAGATAGTTGTAAAGAAGATTTTCATACGAAGAAATATGCAAGATAAAAACAAGTGGAGGTGAAGAAGAGTGGAGTTGCATACTTCACGAAAACAAGATCGATGATTTGTCACAATTAAAGCCAAGGTGGAGATTGTTGAGCTGTGGTTTAAATTGGTGATTTCGTTTGTTAGATTGGTAGTTGCATTGTGTGGTGTCCTAAACAAGAACGAAATATCTTGACATATTCTATTTAGTAAAAGACTTTCCTTGTTGGAGTTGGACTTGATATTTTTCTTAATGAAAGAAGAATTCTTCTCCTATTGAAGGACCTTGTTGCTTAATAAATAGCACATGTAGTGGCTGGTTTATGAATGCCTCCAATATTGATGGTGTGTGGTGGCAACAAAAGAAATAGTGCAATAGCCAAAAGTATTAGTGTAGTATTTTGTTGTGAGTGATTTCTTGGTTGTTATTTGGGTTTTGATATTTGAGTACGCCCTTGATCAGTGGTTGCAATCCCCAATATTTGACAGTGAAGTTTCGTGGAGTAGGCTTTGCCGAACCACATCAAATTTGGGTGTCCCTTTTATTTTGTGTTATTATATGGTTTGCATGGGCTTCGCACAACAAAATGTAATGGCTAAGTTGATAACTAGCTCAAGTGTATTTACGACAGAATTTTGAGAACTAGTAGAAGTTACCAATTCTAAAGCGGCAGCATGTGTTAAAACATCTAAAGAAGCATATTGTATTTCTTCTGGTGCTGTAATGAAGGTCTTTGGGCAGTATTACTTGGAAATATTTACCTGTTCTAGCTTCCAACTAGTGATTAACATTGAATACATTCTCTTCAGAACTATAAAGTTCCTGAAGTCTCACCTAGTTCTGATGAGGAAAGTGCTTGAGATTTCCATGTAATGTCCTTGGGTGATGATTGGAAATAAGGTGTTAGAGGCTTAAAGCCTAACATAGAGTTTGGTGAGGAGAAAAGGGAGAAACAAAATCAAGTTTCAGGACTTCTTTCCTTGTTTTTGGTTCAGAATTGAGAGGAAAGGGAAGAAATAATGGAAGCAATTTACAACATAGGTGAGATTTGAAGGAGGGACTCTGTGAGGCAGGTTTGTAGAACAGTTTAAACATAAGGTGTTCCCTCTTAATTAGTCCTTAAAGTATTTCCCTCAGAAGTTTCTCTACTTTTCCTGGATAAACTAACAGGAAACCAACAAAAGCTTGCTACATGTCACCTTCCTTCCTCTTACGAAAAGTTTGCTTGGTGTTTTTCCATCAAACAACCTCTTGGGACTTGCCTATAATGCATGTTTCTAGGTCTTTCACCAATTTCTTTTCTAAAGTTTTCCCTTTTCTTTCCTTCTTATTTTTTTGGGTAGCAATTACTTTTTAGGACAACTAACATAATGATGTATGTGGTGTCTGTAACACTGCTTAAATTTCTACTCCATTGCTTTCAGCTGCAATCATCGTATCTTCCAATTTAAGCACTTCAACCATAACTACTGCATTCAACCCTGTTCTTTCTTTCAGCTTTTGGGCATACACCTAGATATATTTAATCTGCTTATGTGTCAGAATTTTGAAATGAATAAAAAACTAAACACGAAAATCTGTTTCTCTTCCTGAAGCAGTCAGGAAAGGGTATACAATATGGGCTAGCTGTTCACTCTAGCACCAGGAACTGTGATACTAATGACTGCGCAATAAAATATAGCTGCACATGACTTTCGGCATGGAAAATTAGGTTCATAGGCCAGCAAAATGCAGTAGCCCATATTTAACAATAGGGGCATCTATTGTTGGTTTTGTGGAGCTCTCCCTACCTTAGTTCTTCTCGTCTCATAAATTAGTAGTTTCAAGCAAAAAGCAAGAGATCAGTATTTTGGTTCTTTTTTGTTTATTAGCATTTCGTTATCTTCTTATCAGGCTGTGAAAATGATCAAAGACAAAAAAGAACAATATCGCATACCATCCAAAAGAGCTTCAGACACTTCATCTCGTGTCACGTTCAGTGCTCGTAACAGTATCGCTATGTTCTGCGACTTCTTTGGATCCAAGACTCTGTTTTCACGCTCAGCAGGAGGCAGAACCGATTTTCTTGTAGTTTCTTTTGGTACCGAATTCGCAGAATTACAGCCAAAAAGACTCTCCATCATGTCCTCATTTAATCTAACAAGAAACGTAGTGACCAATTGATCGTAAATTTTATAAAACAATAATTTCGTGAAGGGAATTACTGCTAAACTTCACTTACTGAAATGAGCTGGATTTAAGCTGGTCCCACACTGTGGCTCGGTCTGAGGATGCCCGCACTTTGTCCCAGTGCAGAGGCTTTAACTTGGGCTTTTCACCATCATTGTCATCTGCATTATTCCTCTCTGAGGAACTGGCTCCCTTATTGACTTCCTCGGTAGTTTTTGTTATTCCGGTCTTCAAAATGGCTTTGGGACTAGAAGCTGAGAACTTTTGCTTCGCCATTACTGTTGTGGGCATCGAAGAAACAACCATTGTTTTTGCAGTTTCTAAAGATCCTATCTTTCTTGATGATGGCATTGGAGCCGGAGCCGGAGCCGGAGGAGGCGGAGGTGGAGGTGGAGGTGGAGGTGGAGGTGGAATTTTACTTGACTGATGATTGTATATGGATCGAAGAAGTTCCATATTCGGTGGTGGTGGTGGGACTGGAAATTTTGGCCTTCTAGAAAAATGTGAAGTTGTTGACTCAATAACCTGGACTTTATCCTGATGCGGCAATGGCGGTGGTGGTGGAGGCGGCGGTGGTGCTAATGATGGCTGCTTGATCGAAGGAATGATGACGTGCTTCATTTCCGGTGAAGTTGTGGAAGAAAATCTTGATTTTGGAGAGGTTCTTTTAGAGTGCGGAACAGAAGTTGTGGCTTGGACACGGACATCATTCCTAGCAGCATTAGCAGGCCGCACCGGAACAGGTGTGCAATAGGAATCGTCATTGCTAACTGTGGAGCCCTGTGGCGTATAAAAAGCTGTGTCAAGACTCTCCTCATCCGATATTGATGATGTTGGAGATGGAAAATTCTCATTCTCGTATTGAGGAGGAGGAGGTTTAGGTAGTGGTGGTAGTGGCTGCAAATCAGGACTAGGCCTATAATTATCAGATCTTTTGATTGAATTTAGTCTATGATAAGGTGAAGTATTGGCTCCGTTTGTTGTTGTTCCATTTACTTCAGTAGCTGATGCCCTGCTTGGTTCAACAGTTCCTATGTACAGGAAACTTGACGGGGGAACTCTAGATTCATCTGCAAATCTTTGAGAATTGCCTCCGACAAGCTTTTGAGATTCTCTTGGATGCTTAGCCCGGTGTCGGTACAAAAAGAATGCAAGAGCTGACAGCATCCCTAAAGTGACAATCCCAACTGAGATTGCAATTGCCACTTTCTTAGCAGGCTTGGCCGGCTGTGTTGCTGTTGGGATTGGTATGGTCCCGTTGACTGCTGATGCCGGTGGTGGCTGGACAAGATCTGGGGTTTGCCCATTTGGGACTTCAGGGAAAAAGGGCTGGTCTGGGTTTGCAATAGCTGAGCTATCTGGTGGCGGCGGTTGTGAGTCAGTGGCCGGTGGGGGTGCAGAAGTGACTGGGTATAATGGCTGGTGGAGAATTCTTCGTTGGATGTTAGAGTCCTGAATTATGGTTGCACTTTTGGGTGTGGTCAGTGATGATAATACAATCAAAATGAGGCTCAAGTTATGAGCTTTCATGTTTAATTCTTCTGGGTTGCTCTTATTTCTTCTGCAACTCTTTTTGTTTCACTAAATCCATCTCTCCCTTTGCCTTTGGTTTTTGTCTTTGCAAGAATTTTGTGTGCAGAGAGAGAGAGAGAGATGGTGGAAAAGCAAAAAAGAAAAAGAAAAAAAGAGGTTTGAAGTAAGAGATTGGACACCTGTGTCAAGGGAAGCTTCTTTTGGCTGCAAGATCTCGATGCTCCAGATGCTGACGTCACCATGTTACTTTTTTCTTTTTTTAATAATATCTATCTCATTTACTACGGCGCCTTTCGGAAAAATTATTGGTCTTAATAATTTCCCGAAACAATTTCTCTTATTTCTGTATGGGTTTTATTTTCTAAATTGTTTTTAAAAACAGGTTTGACAGCAACACCGTATAGCATGAGTAATTCTGGATTATTATTTGATTTCATAAATAAGTAATGTAAATCTTTCGTTATAATTTGATAGAATTTATTCACGGGAAAATAAGAACAGATGAAGTTTGTTTGTTTTTTAGAAAATTGTTTTTTAAAAAAATAATTTTTTAAAAAATAAATTATTTTTAATATTTGATAATATCATAAAAGATATGTTTTAATATTTGATAATATTATAAAAAATATATTGAAAAATATTTTACAGTATTTGGTTATGGTCAAAAATAAACTTTCAATGTTATTAAAATAATAAAAAATAAATATTATAAATTAAAAAGTTGAATGAAAATAAAATTAAAAAAATTAATTTTATAAATTATTTTAAATAAAATAAATAATAATAAAAATAATAAAAATAAAATTTAACAGATAAAAAAATATAATATAATAAAATTAAAATAATTATAATTATAATTTCATAAATTATTTCAAATAAAATAAGTAACAATCAAAAAAATAAATAAAAAATGATAAATAAAAAATTTTAATTAAAAAAATAAAAGAAAAATAAATAATAATCACAAGTTAAATTTTATAGGGTAAAATTAAAAAAATAATTCAAACAAAATATATAGAAATCAAAAGTTTGATGATCAAATTTATTAAATCAACAAATAATATGATATTTTTAAATTTTTCACAACTTTTAAGAAATGTTTTCATCTAAAATAAAAGAAAAGCAAATTTTTCACAACTTTTGAAAAGTATTTTTATCTAAAATAAAAGAAAAGTACTTTTTTGAAAACCAAGTTAAATTTTTCTTTGACTGAAAAATATTTTTTATTGATTAATTATTTTAATGATAAACAAATATAAAAAATTATTTTCAACAAATCATTTTCAATCAAATAAACGAGTTTAACAATAAAACCAACTTGTTTGATACTTTATTTTTTTTTTAAGTGAATTTTTTATGGCCTTATTTATTTTTATATTTTAAAAGTATTCTTAGCAAAAATCAAATTTTTTTATATTTTTATTTTAAATTAATATTTTTATGTGTTTTCATGTTATTTTCATACACTAACATTAAAAATATTTTTTAAAAAATAAAAAAATATATATTATTTTAATATATTTTTAAATAAAAAATAATTTAAAAAACAATTCTAAAAACACTCACAAACATCCCGTTAACCTTTTAACTGCAGATTTATTTTTTATTTGTTTTCATTTTTAACTGTTGGTACGAAGGAATGGCACCTGGGGCAAGGCAGA